GAACTGTGATAAAACGCCGGCCATTTGCCCTAAGGTTTCATAAAGGGGACTCCCGGTAGGAAATGTACTTGTGTTTATATCGTCGTCAAAGGAAGAGTGTTCTTCTTGTGCCGCACGACATGCCATGTCATGGAAATGATTTATGCAGCTTCCGTTGCTCGCATGCACTTGTTTGAATTTTCTGTGCATTGTTTCTGACATCAGAATCATTTATTTTCACTATACGATTTAATTTTTGTAATTTCCTATGCTATCAGTAGCTTATTGTTTGCCTTTTAGCCGAGTTTTTCAGTGACGAAGATTTAGCGACCACAAGCTTCCCAAGTTTGCATATATGTCGTCAGTCACTCATTATTCAGTGCCGGCATAAAGTTTATGGCGGCCAGTATTCTGGCATCAAATTTATTCTTTGTTTGTATACATGGCACATTTGTTTACGACGCTTCGCCACCTTTGTTTACGACGTGTAGTACATCAATGTGACTGACGTATTAACAGTAAGTGTCAATTATTGTACTATTGCCGCAAAATTGAAGTTTTTAGTTCCTATTTATAAATACATTACTTTATTCGATTCGATTTTGTTTAAGTAAATATATGTCTTTTTATTTCGGAGAGAAGCATTTGTTTGTTGACATATGCTTCATTGCTGCATGTCAACCGACGCATAAGCTGCCGGTGATTCACTAGTAAATTGATGTTCAGTATAAAGGGTTCAGCAGTAAATTTATGCCGAGTATAAAGGGTTCTTTCTTCTCCATTCTGCCGGTGCGATTAAAAGTTGGCTCACTTGCCATACACTGGAATATACAGACATTTAATTGGAGTATCTCACACACCTGTGTACCGGTAACTGTGTCAGTCACTATGAGAGATGTCTATATGTACATATGTAGCATCGAGTTTAGTCTGGTGCACTTTACGTAGTTTATATTGTTTAATTATGTTTACATATATTATATTAATATATAAGTGAGAATTTTCATGTAGCTGTTAATATCGATGCATTTTGTTTCAAATGAAATATAGCAAAGGTATAGAAATTAATCGACACTCAAAAATTCTATTGAGAAACTACAACAATTTTTTTTTCAATTTTACAGACATTAATTTCTCAGACATCGTTTATGCCAACAACCAACCGTGAAAAATAAGTAATTGCTCCTTCATTTCATTCGGAGTTGAGAGCTAAAAAGTACGAAACAAAGCAGTTCGCGCATGACAAATAATTACATGAATCGAGTTTCAATCCGTTGTCACCAAACCGAGTTTGATGCAATGAATGCCGTGACTCGGCAGTGAATTGACTTCAGTCATCTTTTTCTGACTCGTCAAATTAAAGCTTCGATATTCAATGGACCAAATCGCTCGCCGACAATAGCACAGCTGGGGCTTGTGTCCACATTGCGACGATTTTTCTCCACAATGAGAGGACATTTTTCACGAGGTTGAGTACAGTCAATGGGAAGAATGTTTTAGTGAATCTCGCCGAACGCTTGGCTCATTTCCGTATTTCTGTTCAAGTGTTCGATCTTTTTTGTAGCATCTCTCTGTGGAGTTTTTTAGCGCCCTAGCGTTAGAAGAAAAAAGTAAATATTTGTATGTCTTACTAACATTTTAAGGTTTCCATTCATTGAGCTGGCACTGACTATTTATTAAAATATTTTTTACATATTCTAAATTAATGTCAGAAGTCCTGATAGCTGTTTCACATCACCTTTTTCTTTGCCGGCGTTCACAGTGCTATTATTAATTGTATAATAATAGCCAACTGTATACGTTGTATGTTGATTCATGTATGTTTTCAGGAATCTGTTGCTGATGGTTAATGAAGTAGAGTACGCTTGAATTAACTGCATTACTCTTCGGCAATGCATGCATTTCAAAGTGCAAATAAACTTAAAATGAAAGGCTAATTAGCTACGGCGGAAGAGGTCGTCTTTATCGTATCTCAAGGATATATAATTTTGTGCCATTATTATTCATTATAGTAGCGTTGTATTATAACATTGTTTCATCTTGACATGTTTCATCTTGACATGCGTAAGTACAGTGTGGAGCTGGAGCGTGTCTTCCATTTCAAGCTTTGAGTTGAGATACATGAAAAATTACGTCCAGTACGGCTGGTTAGCTTGGGATACGATAACTGGCCCACGTAACAATATTTTTCCATGTTTTAATCTGCTCAAGATAAGCGGAATGCCGGATCTAACATCGCTGAAGCGGGAAATATCGCTAACACGAACGTAGATAGCGAGAAATTCCTCAGTTCTGCTCTACGTGCGAGCTTCATTTTAATTATGTTAATTTATCCATGTTAACTTTATCATGATGCTATTTGTGGTCACATCAGACATACATAAAAATTCAAGAGAAAAAGCCTGGTTATGCAAATGGAATTACTATTGAAACATAAATGTACAAGAAAAAAATAAAAAAAAGGTTCCTTAGCAGGGCTAGAGATTATGCTTTGACATCATATATGGTACAAATGATCCTGCTTATCTCGAGCGTTGAATAAAATTCGCTTCTCACGACAAACGTAACAAATGTGATAAAATTCAAACCATTAAACTCAATGACTAGGTTCTTTGAATCATAGCTGTGCAACAAAATATAAATGAATTCAAGAAAGGGCTTCCAATGGCAGCCGTTAAGGCTCGCATCTTTTCTCGAATCAAATAAGACATTCTCGGACAATAAAATCTTTTTTTATTTATTTCCGCCTGCGAAACCCGAGCCCTGATTGCGCCATCTCTGTCTTAATTCCAACCCTGAATTATTTTTCACACTAGATAGTATCTTTGGCCGCGAATTTAAGTCTTCAAAATATTTAAAAATGCTCTAAGCGTCAAGTGAAATAGCAAACATATACTGAAAACCGCTGTATGCCATTTAATCAAGCATCGAGTTTAGTTCGGTAATTTATTATTAAATTTTCCCTATCAGATGTTAGGTGCCTCTATCAGTCATCAATCGAGTGATAAGAAAATCTCATTAATCGAAAGTTCCTGTGAATGATGTCATGAGAGAGTGCGTGTTTTCATTACAGTCGATGTCTCTGTACAGTCACACGCCTCTTAATATGCACTCTAATGATGAGAGAAAGATAGCTTCCACTCACGTCGTTGTTTATCAGTAAGCTAATCTGTTGCGAAAGTGAGTGATTTGCCTCGCGTTTCTTACAGATATCGATGAAGGAATATTACGTTTTCCATCTCTTATCTCACGTTATTTTTTAATACCTGGAGTAGATAAAACCGCTTATCAAATGATGAAGATTGTCGCTGAATTTTTTTATTGCTTTACTACTATGTTGTTATAATATATAATTGAAGCGTGGTCTGTTCGCCTAAACTATCGTGTTTTTAATTATTGGAATAATTAGCTCAGTTATAATTTTATCGTGATTTTAAATACTTTTATTCGCTGAGAGACAATTAGTATCGTTTTGAATATATATTAAATGAATAACTAATGGAGCTAAGTTACCATTGGAAGATTCTGGGAAAAAATTCTGGGGGTGTTTCAGCTCCGCAGCACAACTCTTTAGTAAAAGTTTATTTCGCCACCGCAACCTCCATGCAGATCCGGACAAAGTTTCCAGTCTTGTGTACCGGTCTTTAGCTCCATATGGAACTCTTAACACAGATTGTCCCTCGGAGCCGGAGACAAAAGGCTTTTGTGGCCCATACTTTAATGGAGTGAGCTTCCGCTCTCACTTTCATTCAAAACTGCGTATAAATGCACGTGTAAAATGAGGTTGAGGCAAACTTAATTCAGCCTCACAATACGGCAGAGTCGTGTAGAGCAATGACCTTTGATTGACAGTCTGCAATTTGACCTGTTCGTTGCTAAGTGTTAGTCCATACCATAACAACATTAATGGCAATTCGTCTACTTCTAACACAAGAGAAGTAGAATAGTTAATTCTAAAAATTTCTAACACTAGACTGTCAATAATGAAGAAAATGATTAAATATACAATTTGAACTACTGGATAGTGAATATTTTCAGAGGAACCGGCTAGACAGCAAATGCCTAGAATTACGTATGTGTATCTAATAAGAAGGTGTTTCATCGAGCCTTTTCAAAGATTTGAAATGATCAATTTAATAATGAAGGAATGAAAATGTGAAAAAATTTGGAGACAAATGTGCTTGCACGTTTCCAAATCTGCCTGCTTGGCTGACTTCAGTTCACCGTGCTACAGTTGTTGTGGATTTATTGTAGCCTAGATATGCTTCCTTTGCTACAAAAATTACGAATTTAATTTCTTCATTTAATTTTATAATGAAATGCCTCTTCGAGTTTCAAAAATTACATATATTCCATTGGATAAATATTATTGTAGTTAAATAATTCCGACATTTATTGCGTTGATAATTCCGTTCCAGGTTACTTAACCTTACCGCCACATGAGTTCAGCAAATAAAATTCATCCATCCCCAGTTACATGCACGGAGAGGACGATCAATTTCATGAAAAACACGATTTTTGTAACTTATAGCAGTTACAGTGTTTTGCTGTGAGATGAAAGATCATGTAAACTGCAGATAATAGATCAAAATCACATAATTTATTGCATTTAAGCAATTCAAAGTATTAACTCGTACCGTGAAATTGTCAACCTGCCGTGACGGATTATCATGGTTTTGTCATTGAAAAAGAGCACTGTCAGACTTTGATTTAATGCTGGAAGTCACAAACCCTCTGAAATCACAATTCGTTGACGTAAATACCTCCCTGAGAAATAAATACAAATTGTTAACTCGAGAAGGATATCATTACCATGTTATTACCAATAAAAAGCTCGCGCCTCCATGGAGGAAGAAGACGACTCTTGGATTGCTTGAGAAATGATGGGTTGACAGGACGAGTATTTGATCTCTTGGCGATGTCATCTACCACATTAGCGACATGTCAGCTCTCTGCAATCTGAGACGCCAGATTGCAGGTGTTTTCGGGGTGAAATAAAAAGCCTATTATTTATCAGAGGATTTATATTAAATTGCAGGACCCCGTCTGTCCTTTTTATTAATAAATGCGGCCAGCCATATTATATTGATGTAAGCCACCGAATACGCTTTCGAATAGATTTTTTTACATTTTTAAGACTTATTGCAGTAGTATAGTTATAATACTTTTAACAGTGTAGTTTCACTCATAAATTTAGACAGCGGAAATCTTTTTGCATTTATTATGAAGATAACTGAAAAATCTCTCCATAATTGCCATAAAAACGGTTTCTTAGGAGGCTAAAGAATAACATAATTAGCTAATAGTGAATTATATTATTATAGGAATAATCGGCGATTTCAATATTCATTTATTTATAGAATAAACATTATTAATTTGAATTTCCTATAAAAATACGTATCACCATTATTCTTAAAGCAAATTACTTATCCATTCAAAAATTGGCTCATAATCATATTAATTCCGTTGTAGGAGATGACAACTTGTTTTCAAAGAGATGTTCTTGCATCAATAAAAAGAAAAACAATGTAAAATTTACATTTTCATTCAAATAAATATGCCACATTTCAAATTAGGAATTACGACGTGATTAATGTCCGTGAATGTTTCACCGCATAAAGCCGGTATTTTAGGACTAATTTGAAACAAATCTAAATTACAATTATTATCACAGATTTTCCTAACTGGAAGCTTATAAAACTTTTGCTTATCATACAGAAGTAGTGTATGATAGAAAAGTTGAACCGAGATACAAAACACCAACATATATCACAAATGACGAAAGTTATGTTCATTCGTATAAAGCATTCGAAACTAATATAAATAATGTATAAGCATTTATAGGTACATTTCCATTTATGGGTTCTATAAAAATTCAATTACAATGATCAAACTGATATCCAAACTATAACAACGGTGAAACACAGTTATAACTACGGCATCAAACAGCTCTCTAAGTGAATTCAAATGGCACTGAACAATACTTTATGAATAAATATTACAATTTTTAGAATTCATATGTCGGAAAAATTCATTGCATTTCGGACCGGCAAATAGTTTATCTTGGCAGTTCGTCACTAAGATGGCCGAGAAGATCCTCGTGTTCTTCTCCTCGAGGAATACCAGTAAAATGCGAGAGCGAGCAGGAACAATAAGGGAGAGGGTTGTTCTTAACTTCTTGGCAGCTCGTCACTGAGATGGCCGAGAAGACCCTCGAGTTCTTCTCCTCGAAGAATACCAGTAAAATGCGAGAGCGAGCAGGAACAATAAGGAAGAGGGTTGTTCTTGGCAGCTCGTCACTGAGATGGCCGAGAAGATCCTCGAGTTCTTCTCCTTGAGGAATACCAGTAAAATGCGAGAGCGAGCAGGAACAATAAGGGAGAGGGTTGTTCTTGGCAGCTCGTCACTGAGATGGCCGAGAAGATCCTCGAATTCTTCTCCTTGAGGAATACCAGTAAAATGCGAGAGCGAGCAGGAACAATAAGGGAGAGGGTTGTTCTTGGCAGCTCGTCACTGAGGTGGCCGAGATGATCCTCGAGTTCTTCTCCTCGAGGAATACCAGTAAAATGCGAGAGCGAGCAGGAACAATAGGGGAGAGGGTTGTAATGCGAGACTCGTGCTCCGCATTGAGGCTGAGGACAAAAACAACACTGCATTAGGATCAGCTTACCTCGGAGATGCGAGCGTCGCGTTCCAAGAAAGGATTTCTGAGAGCTAAGAATCCCTCGTGAATATGCATTACATGCTCCCTATCGATAACATTTTTTACGTGTGTTGTGTGGAAGACATGACATGTGAAACCATCGAAATGGATAGAGTGAAATTCATTTTCAACGTTAATTTTTTTTTGTTTATTGGCTAGGATATTGATTACATTTTGGACCAAAGCCAGCCTGTGGCTATGAATCAATTGAAAAAGAGTCATGTTATTTATTGATCAGAAATACGATTAGCCATATTAACTTCTGATCAATAACCTGAAGGATCATTTCTGTGATATTGATGGAACTATAAAACTTATTCATCACTTTCTTTCGAATACACAAAAATGTTAGGCCTATAAATAGAATAAACGTAATAAACATCAATACAAAATCTCATACCTGCTGAACGTGCATTATCGTTTCTCACTGCCTCTGCAAAAAAATTAAATCAAATGATTAAACATCGATGCTTAAAATTGAAAAAATGTCTAAAACCAGGCTCAAGATACATTTAAACGGCTAAATGAATTCAAATTAAATCAATTCAAGTTTAAGTTTGATAACCATTTCCTTGGTCGCGTATATAGTGATGTTCATGGATATGGACAAGCCGTTAAATATTTTATGATATCATTCGTAAATACTGCACTGAGGACAAAAGCTTATTTACATGTTTGAAGTGCTATCCACAAAAATTGTACTTCATTTTACATATTTATCAATATAAATTTAATTTTCTATTATTCCATTATCATCAAATCCATGCAATTTTCTTTGTTAAACCATGCATAGTAGTATATAATGATTCAATGTTTTATAATTATCAATTTTAATCATCAATTTCTTCAATGATGCATGACATTATTTCGATGATATATTTTCAGGCGTTTCATAAAGTTTTCACGTGAATCACGATAGTGTAAGAAGAATCAAAATATTCCGAAAATTTACTGAATCTATTTGACTGAATGTATCCTCTCCGAGGTGATACAGAAATCTACCCTTCAATCTGTTGATTATGTGAATCTATTTCATGAATGTATGTTCACCGAGGTGATACAGAAGTCTACCCTCAAGTCTGTTGATTTTATGAATCTATTTCACTGAAAGTATCCTCAGCAAGTTGATATAAAAATCTACCCTCAAGTCTTTTGATTTAATGAATCTATTCCACTGGATTTATGCTCACCGAGGTGATACAGAAGTCTACCCTCAAGTCTGTTGATTTTATGAATCTATTCCACTGAATTTATCCTCACCGAGATGATACAGAAGTCTGTCCTCAAGTCTGTAGTCTGTACCAGGCAGGCTCAAGGCGCAGCCAAAGACAGTCTCCTTGTTGAGCTGGTATGTAGGGATGCTGGCAGTCGCTGACACTCTGTACAGATTGCTTGCCTTGTTCCTGTCTTTGTATATCGTCGCGTGGATAGGCGTTCGCCTGAGGGCGAAGTTTCAAATTTTTTTGACGCCTTGTTAACAAATATTGATGATAAAGTTTTCCGGATTATTTTAGGATATGTTATAAAACAATAAATTCATTAATCAGCTTAATTAACATTTTTCTCAGACGTAACAAAAAATTTTGGCTTATTCAAGAATTTGTTAATTATATTGGGGGAGACATAATATTACAAGATATAATCAAATTCCAATTTTTCCCCTCAATTAAACAAAATTGATGAATATATAACGATATCGATATGTATAATTATCATGTCACCATTTTTCTAAAGGATTTATTCCTTACTTTCTTGTGTTGAGGTCGGTGCTAGATAAAGAAATATCAGGCTCCGGATAAACGCCTTCTCCCACGCAGTTAACAGTGACTCGACTGAGCGAATCTTGAGCCACCTGGATATTGAACGACGATGCCGAGGCTGTAACAAAGTTAATCGTCGTTTTTTATTTAGTATAAATACATTATTGAATTTAGTATAAACTTATTATTACTATTTTAGCATTTATATTTATTGTAAATACAAATAGATAAGGAATATTTGAATATTTAGTATTACGGCTTGAAGCATTTGACATTAATACCTAACATCTTGCGACGATATTAAAACCATTGATATGACTGAAAATATTACATCAAGAAAATTACCGGCTTAGAACCTGCTTGCTCATTACGTTCACATGGACCTAAAGAAAAAAACAAGGCCAACGAAATACACAGCGAAACTCACTGTAGAGAACGAGATTTCCTGTGGCAGAGCCCTCGTGTAAGTGCGTGGAAACCTTGCATTTATAATCTCCTGCCAACTCTGCCGTTGGTCTTATGAAAGCCAGCGCGCTGTGAGCCTTCAATGGATCAAAAGATGCTTCATAATTTAGATCCAGCCTTCCTCGCAGGATACCCAGAGCCTGAAAGTTGTATTTACCGAGAACAAATTAGCTTCTTGCATGGTGTACTGATTAAAATTTTCTCGTATTTATGTAACTTATTTTATACAGACCCGCTAGCCCCAGCAATCATCTCCTACTTTCAAGTAATCAATTTTGTACCATATAAAAATAAATTTTGAATTAATCGCCTGATTATTCTAAATGAATTAATATTATGAAAAAGATTCTCACTAAATTTCACGCTAATATTGATCTTGGAAATAAAGTTTATCTTCTTCAAATTTTATAAGAGTAACCATTTAACATTGGAACTAATAAAGTTCGACACCTTATCCTAGTGATGAATAAACGAATAATGTTTCCTTTTATTGTATTTAAATATAATCTTGAATGGATAAATTCGTATACAGAATACACTTGCGTCTCGTGAAATTAAGTATGAATATACTTAATTTCACTCAAGTATGAATACATTCTCTTAGGAATGAACGTCAGCAGTTGTTCCTTGCGAGTGCATTGAAAAATTCCCCTTGTTCCCAGAAAATACGTGTTATAATAGCAATTAGTTCACGAAATTTTATTAGTCAAACGCGCACGAATAATTATCAGAATGCATTATATTCCAATTTGCAGGGAATAAAAATTCTTCAGATGAAATTAATAGATCAAAAGGCAGGTCTCAGCAAGGATTTATAATATATTTGATGACGTATCGAGTGTCTCAACATTCATTCTATTAATGAAGCTTTCTTTGAAGACCATGCATGAGCGTATTTCTTATTGAAATTTTATTACTGAATTACCTGAGGTTTCATTCCTTGTATCCACTGATATACAAGCTTGAATTTTCCACCGTGTCCACCATGGTACCATTTAACCACTAGACCTGCTGCCTCTTCACCATCAGGAATGTTGTACTGGCAGTCCATCACCACCAGCGGACACGTTCCGTTCTTCACTGTGCCTCCTCCTACCACTCCCAGCACTTCGAATTTTGAATCTAAAGAAATCATTATTGCACAGGTTAAATTAGCTTCTATACAAAATTCTGTGTTAATAAAGACGATATGTGAATTGCGATTATAATTGCTATTACACAAATCAGTTTAACTTCTCCGCGTACGACTATAAAGACTGCTATGAGCGCTGTTAATTAATTTAAGTGCAGTTTTTGAGGGAAAAGTTTATTTAAAATGACATTCAGGGAATATTTTTAATTAATCATGTATGATGAAACAAAAACTAATGGTGCTTAGCAATTAGCACTACATTCCGAAGAATATTTTTGGTTAATTTTTTATTAGTAAGGTTACCAACAAGGAATTGTATAAACGGTTATTGTACGCTTCGAAATAAGATACAACATTTATGGGATACAACTTTTGACATGTAAATGAAAACACTAGATGAATTTTTTATCATAATTTTGATGGAGTAAGATTCGCCTCAACTTGCGATTAACTTAATCATTTTGCCTAAAACGTGATTTTACGATTTCAATAGCTTCACAATCGACTGAATGTGACAGCTTCAAGTTTCTATACGGAAATAATTATGTCGGCCTGATTATTGAACTCATTTCTAGATTAACAAGATTACTTTAAAAAAATTCTAGAATCATTCCAGCTCTTTCGATAGATTAGAAGCAGTTATGGGCTCATTTCTAAAGGCAAAACTGCTTCTGCGTCTCCAGAATGAAGGCTTGATCTCTCAGGACGATTGAAATGGAAGGTTCAGGATCGGAGATGTCATCAGCATAAAACACTAGCGATGTGATGCTCACAAATGCTTCATGAAATTGATATGTTAAATCCAAAGCTCATCTCATGATACAAGAATAGAATAGCACGTGTTTTACGAAACAGAAATCTAACACTGGATAGTAGCCTTGTCAGAATCTAGTTTTATATTTATATTACTATTTCTTGGCGAAAAACTAGTTTGATGCGTTTTTTCTATTGAAGTGACAGAATCATTCAGAAACTGCAAGCAAGTAAATATTTATTTTATTTTGTAATATGTATGATCCTGATTAAACTATTTTGTTTGTAAAATATGTTTTTATTAGCTTGCAATACGACGTATGAGATACAGCCGGTTTTCTCTCAATCTCAGTAAAATTCGAATGCAGCTCGAATAAGAGGCATGTTTTGGCCCAATACTTTCTTGCAAACATAAACTTATGAAAATGATGACTGAAGTAAATAAATAATATAATTGATAACTGCTGAATTAAATGAAAATCTTAAATTAGCTTTAAGGCTGAATTCCGAAGCCAATTTAGGGTATTTTCATGTAAATGCTACAATGAACTAAATCGTCGTACTTATTTGAAATTAATTTAGTTTTCAACGACTATTTGAACTCACCTGACATTATCGATGTCAACGTTTACACACAAACAACGTGCTCTTTTTCCCTTTAGTTATATAATTTTTCTTATAAATCTCTCTTTGATCTCCTCTTGTTATTATTAAAATTCGGTATAACGATTTAAATGTTCTCAACAATATCACGCTTCACTTATTAGTTTTAGCTTGCTAATAGCTGACGCGGGTATAACAAATCAATAAAGTCAATTTACTCATACGTAAAATTCATCGCATCGAAATTTTTTATGGATGCTTGTCATGTGGATTTAATTTATTTAAATTGGCACTGATCGAGTTTTCAAAGTAATTCATTACTTTCCACTCTCACAGCGCTCTGAATAAAGCCACTGAATTGTAAGAAATATGTCAGCTGTTGTTATAAAAACTATGACATTTTGATACCCATCATATTTCAAAACAAAGAATACCGCGTGTAAACAAATTCTCTAATGGGAACACATAATTTTTTGTAAAAGTTTTTCACGTTGTAATTAGTTGAATTCAAAAAAATTATACAGACTCGTGCTTTGAAGAAGCATTTTTAAAAACTTCTTATCTGTCTCTCAGGCACTCATGGGATGCGGGACGACAATCTAAGTACGACCACCCACACCCGCGTCAGATGTGGCACTGAGAGCGAGCCGAGCGAAACGGTCTTTATTCTACATGCGGTTGCCCTCTCATGTTTTTGCAGGTCTCTAGATCTGAGACCATATTGTCATATGTCCGGCTATAACCTCACGGTTTGGTATCTCTAACACAATCTTACGCGTGCTGAATCGCTAATGAGCAGTTGAATTTGGATACAGTGTAACATTGACGAAATATAATATTTTAAAATTTATTGAGAACACATTATTTACTTACAATGAAAAAAGCAATTCTGTAAGAGATAAGCTGCTTTCGTATGTCAGAGTAAATAACTCTAAACAAATAATTTTAAAAATCGAAACAAATGACAATCTCTAGTCCTATTTGCATACCCGGTGAATGACCGTTCGATTTACCATTTATTGAACACGCCCATGACTTCCGCGTACTGGTTTCTGAAGAATATTTTGTTAAGGCCGCAGGATTGTTTTATCTCAGAGAAAAACAGGTTCTGTCGTGCACATATTTGGACGGCAGGTGCAGCGTTCCTCACCCCACCTACACTGGTGACGTGTCGCAGGTGCAAGATCTTCTCAGCCAATGCGAGGGCACCATGTTTTGCTGGACTTTATCAGCATTATTTAGTTTATTTGATATGCAATAAACTGACCCCGAATATTTTTGGGAACAAATTCGCAGTTATCTTAAATTCGAAAGCGAGGGCACCATGTTTTGCTGGACTTTATCAGCATTATTTAGTTTATTTGATATGCAATGAACTGAACACGAATCTTTTTTGAAATAAATTCGCAGTTATGTTAAATTCGACAAGCGAGGGCACCATGTTTTGCGGGTCTTTATCAGCATTATTTAGTTTATTTGATATTCAATGAGCTGACCACGAATATTTTTTGGAACAAATTCGCAGTTATGCTTAAATTCGACAATGTTTTTATTTTTAAACTAGATTAAATTTTGTTCGATGGTTAGGGTTCGTCCCTGTAAATTATCATTGCATATAATTGTTCGTGATGTACAAAGTGTAGTCTATATATGTTGTCCACAGACCTCGCTACATTCATTCAAACACATTCCATCAAGAGACAAGAGAAAACCTTTAACTTAATTCATCATAAATCCTGGGAAGAATTAAATTAGGAATATTCACGAAATTAAGAGAACAATTTGCAACGGGCTTCAGAAGAGCATATTTTCTATTCGCTAAACGGCAGGCTGTGAATTAGGTTACGGAATGTACCCGAGGGATTTGGGTTTTAATTTTTAGTCCGCCACTGATAATAACGATCATGTAGGCAGCGAGAAAGCATCGTGCGTCTGTGATCGAAGAATACCTAAGAAATAATATAAAATGCACTACAATGGCCGAATCCTTTTAACTGCGTGCTCTCCAAGTTATGTTCAAAGTGATTTTTTGTGCGCGTTTAATCCAAAACTGCGGTAAAAAATTGATGAGGTAGTCTGTAGGGTATACCGACATCCCTTAACAATTTAATTGTACCGACATCCGTTAATTGATAGTAGTACGTTTTTATTTGATCAAAATTATAAATTTCTCTGCAGCACTCTACACTATATTAACTGCAAATTATTGACTAATGCATGATTTCTCACTCATATTGAATATTAAGTATCGTGACAATAACCTCATCCATATAGTTACCATGAACAGAATAAGGTTTAATTTCAACCATCCACTTTCCAGAACAATAATGGACTGGAAAAAGTGAAATGAACACTATCTAAAATAATAATGAACTGGGAACACATTTAAAGAATAATTGTTCACGCCAATAAGCTCTCTAGACTCAGGAGACTCCATAGCACTCATGGCGACTAGCAAATAGCTAATTTAGAAAATTGCGACCCCTTCTTAAGTGCAGCTTTTAATATAAATTTTTTGATTTAGTTTTTGGGAAATGATTTTTTTAGACTTAGGGCGACAAATATCCGTAGAAAATATTTCTGTCTCCTACATAGATAAAAACAATATCCGTATCAAGTTATGAAATAAATATGAAAATTTCATTCGAATCAAGCGATTAGATTATTCCTTATTCATATTGCATTTGGGCGGACGATGCAGAAATATTAACTCAATTCACTCCAACGTATTTTTCATCATGTATCCCATGCCGGCTTTAAACCATCCTCTTTTGCCGTTTTTGTGAATTTTTAAAAGTTAGTTTTCTAACGTTATCAGCTGGACAATTCATTTATAAGTTGTTTTACTTTACTTCTAACGCACTAGTTAAGGTGCAAGCCTTATCGTATACCCATTGAAAATCATTAAAAATTATTATTGGAAAATAAATAAAATAATGCAGTTCGCGGTTCAAGTACCAACGTTTTCCAGCTCAGTAAATTTCAAAAAATTTCGTAAGGAATTTCTAAGAACTTTATAAGTTGGTGATGATGTCATGTTCATCCAGTCATCACAGTCATATATTAATGTATGCATAATCCCAAACTTGCATTTTTTCCCTTAACGAGCGTCCATTTCAAAAATGTGGTTAAGCTTTATATAAAGCACTGGACACAAGAAGATTACACATCTTGACACAAGAATTTAATTTTATTTAATTTCTCGACACATAGGTATTCAACTTCTTGATATTTGAAAAGTCAATTTCTTGACAAGGAAAGATTCAACTTCAGCTTCTTCAGTTTCAGCTTCTCGAAAAAAAAGAAGATTCAAATTCTCGGCACAATTAAGGAGATTGTACTTCTCGACAAAAGCAGATAAACTTTTCAAACCAAGAAGATTCAAATTCTCGACACATTAAGATTAGATTTTCCGATAGAGGATCTTTCAATTTTAAACGTGATAATTTCTTTTGAAGATTGAAATTTAAAGTTTAATCTTTAATCGCTTGCTGGTTTCGATAAACCATGGTCCCTGCGGATAGACATGTCCAAATAAATTTGATTTGTGTGTTCAAGTGTACTTCATATATCATCTTCGTTCAAACTAACGTTCACTTCATCAGTGAAAAAATTTCTCTCTATTTTTGTTTTATTTCGTCAAAATTATAAATCAGAAGACGTCTCTAATTGTCGTTAATATAACTAATGACGTGAGAGACAAAATTAACTATTTGATGGGTATTTGCTCGTTACCGTCTTCTGTATCATTCGTATCTTGATTTTTGCCTACTAAAGGAAAAGAAATTTCAATGCAAATCGATCTAAGATAAAGTTTTTGTGTTATCATTTCATTCAACATGACCATTACTCACGTCACCGGCAAATTTATTTCGTTGATTAACTTTGGGAGACGTAATGCATATCATCTATGGCGGATTGACAATATTGTAAAATTACATCATATTGTCAGTATACATATGTAAATAGTAAAATTACATCATAGGTAATTACATTTTACCACCATCATCGTTACATCATTTAATTACATTTTACCGCCAGATGTTTTACCAAAATTACATCATAGTTAAATAATGTCAGCATACATCATTTAACTTTGTGAGACGTTATGCATATCATCTCTGGCGGATGCCTGTCAATAAAAATATAACTCAGTACTCACTGCAGTGAGTGACAGAGAGCGCATTTTCTCGTCGACGAAAACTTGAGGTCACGGACAGACGGACAGACGGACGGACAGACAGACAGACGGACATGGCGAGCACAATAGTGCATTTTTCCATAAATGAGAAAATGCGCTAAAAAGTGACCGCAGCGATGTGTTCAAGAGCGTGACGGAGTCGATCATTTTAGTGGCAGCGAGCAAATTTTTGCCGAAGTTTCAGAAAAATTTTAGTTAGGGGTTGATTTCTGGCCAGGAAATTCTAGTGCACTGATATTTTTTGTTGACTCATGAGCTTTGCTCAATAATCAAGCTGTGATTAAGACAGCTGCCAGACAATGAAAAAGATAGTAGCACTCAGCACGCAACGCCGCTGCCGGTATTTTTCTTAGCGAAAATTTGTTCTCACGGAACTGGCAAATTTCTTCATAAATAGTGAAGGGATCATTGAATTCAGATGGAATATTAAGGATTATATTCCTTTTTTAAGATAGGATTTATTATTTGTCTATTTAATTCCCACAAATGCTAGATTCATGAACTTTTTTGTTCTTCGATTAATTTATATCATGAAGATGGCAGTATTTACAGTCTTTTAATTAATGATAGGTTCATTGCTCCAAACTGCAAAACTTCAAAAGTCTAAAATGCTCTCAAAAAAGCGAGTACAAGATACTTTGTGTTATTATGTTTTATTTTCGTTTATAGTGTGAGGAAGGTCCAATTTTCTGTGCTATTTATATATCCCATCATTCCGCATTTACACGACAAGGTTTTCCATCTTGAAGAAAAATCATCTGGTGGTGTCACCAAGCAGTGATTCATGCCCATGAGAAAGTATCTGAGTAACGAATCCAAAAAACATATACGTCGCATCATCCGTCGTAATGAGCAAGAAGAGAACGAGCCGACAATTGCTTTCCTGAAAATTTTTCTTGTCTAGTGGCACCTTTTCTCATAAACTTATTTTACATTGCTCTCGGGTATTTTTGGAAACTGAAAGCAATTTTTATATGTAAAACAACCTCGTATTTAATTGATCACATCCGCTTTAAAGACATACCCCAGATAACTCCAGCAAAGAAGTTGTTCAAAATATAACTCGTTCTGTGCCCTAAGTTTCCCACAGACATGGCTGCTGACGCTGGATGATAAACCGCGACGTTTTTAGTCAGACTCGGTAATTTGATGAGCTGGAAAACTTTGTATGTAAAGAACTTCGAATAATAAAAAGCTGTTCGGAAATTGACTCAGAGAAACAAAAAATTACAATATACAAACTAATAGAGTTTGTATTATAATTTGTCAAGTTATCGATAAATAGTGATGTAATAATAATTATTATTAAT